GGAACCTTAATGGTTCCATGAGTCGCCTGGGACAGAACCACCTGGTCGGTTCCTCCTCCCTACAGTGGGGGTTTGGTCTCTGGAAGTCGAGCCTCACCGAGCCTCAAACTCGGTGGGTTTTCTTGGCCGACTCGCAAGCTGACAGCAGCAATGCACTGCTGTAAATGAATCAGAAGCCTTCTCTGATGCCTTGGGCTTAAGGCATCTTACCTTTTTTGAGTCCTCATTCTGAGGCAGCCATTGCTGTTTCTCTGGGGCAGGTAGTAGAGAGGAGTATTGTAGGTAATGGAAGCCCAGCTTCTGTTCAGTAGGATCTCCGTGGCCGTCTCCACAGGGAATCCCTCCCCCACTCCTACCAGCCTTCCACTTCCCAATAGACCTCCAGGGAAATCTACAGGAATCCAAGTCAGCCCCACACCTTGTTTGGATTCAGGCCCAACATGAGTGAACACCCATCTCACAGGGGACAAAAGTGCTGGAACCACCATCAGGAGGCAACCTAACTGCATCTATTACTAGTAGTAGTCACCTTCCACAGCAGCACTCTCCTCAGTCTTACCAGCCACTCTTCAGCCCATCTTCCCCTCCCAAAAGGAAGTGGCTCCCTATTAAGACTACCCACTCTCCATCGTCATGGGTTTTTTTTTAAGCCCTAACCCAAGTTTCGTTTGAACTCTAGTGCAAATTAGCTTTAGAGCTTCTGGTGTGGAAAATTGCATTTTTGATCACTGTATCTTCTACCACACGTATCAGAAAAGGGGGATTCTCTCTCAAGGAAGATTTTCCTATTAGCCAGCCAGGCACCATCACTATCTGAAGCCAGCCTTCACTGTTGAGATGGATTTGGATTTTTACTGGGGCCAGAATATGGTACTCTTGATGCCCAAGGAGGCTCAGTTAGAAAAGTCAGTATAAACTGTATATGAACTAACAAGACAAGAGATAGATGATTTCCAAGTAATCAGCTGTCACTTCACTTATTTCCTTCCTTTCCTTTGCTTCCTTCCCCTCCCTTTTCTTTCTTCCTTTCTTCCATCCCTCCCTTTCCTTTCCTTCCCTTTTTTTCCTTCCTTCCATCCCTCCCTTTACTTCCTTCCTTCCATCTCTCCCTTTCCTTTTTTCCCTTCTTTCCCTTTTCTTCCTTCCCTCCCCTCCTTTTCCTTCCTTCCCTTTCCTTCCTTCCTCCCTCCCTCCACATTATTTTGTTGTTGCTTAACCCAATTCCTTTCATTTCCTAGATATGAGAAGCGTCTTTTCTGATGATGGGTCCCTTGTGCATTTCCAGAGCCTCTTTTGTCTCATGGGGCTCGTGCAGCCACGATCATGAACTGCTCCCTTCACAGAAGTGCCATTTTGCTAAAGGCGCAGGGCTACATGCCATTTCCCAAATCATCAGCTGCTCTGACCAAGGCTGAAGAGAACCTATTCCAGGGATGGTGCTGTATGCTGACAGAAACCTTGCAGATGTGTGTTCTTGCACTATTTTTACAATAAAACATGAGGAACGAGTCTTAACTTTTTCCAACACACCTGGGGATCAGTTCAGCTTGTCTTTTCTGTTGGCATCTTCTAAAGGAGAATTTGATCAGCTACGCTCCAACGTACATTAACAAAGCCTTCCACATATGCGTAAAGCCATCCATTTTATTTCCTAAAAATGATTTTCACCCACCCTCAGTGCAAATGTTGCAACATGCACACTCCCTGTCACATTCTTCTTAAAGACATTTCAGGCTGTTGATTTCAGAGATTATTTTTTGGAAGCAAGAGTTCCCAGCTTCCAGAGATTGTTTTATACACCCCAAACTATGTCTTAAAGAATTTATTCTTAGTGGATACTCAGAATTGCATGAAAAAAGGGACATCTGTTGGTGTTCTAGCCCAATGTTCAGGTTTGAAGTAGAATACATTCTTTTCTAGTTTCAAAACAGACAGATTTACCATCACCCAAGATCAATGTTAGTGGGAGGATTGTTGGTTATGCTGCATTCATAGGTCTAGTTATCTGCTTGTGTGGGTAAGATCTCACACTTTTATGTAACTTCAAACACGCATATGGCAGGTATAAACAAACAAGAAAGCATTAGCAAAATTACAAATTTACATAACTAGGAATCATGAAATCAGGGGGCATGAAACCTTTGTAGGGAAAAGTGATGTTTACACCTTAAAATGCAATTTATGCAGATCATTGCTGTTATGCAGGACAGCATTCCTTAACATTGTGTGAATGTGGGTTTTTTTAAAAACATACACTATATTGCCAAAAGTATTCGCTCACCTGCCTTTACT